CTTTCACTCTGTGGGATGTGACTGTTGCGATTCGGCGTTTTCGTCAGTCTTATAATCCAGGCCCTGATGGTGTCCCAGTAAGCATTTTAAAAGCCGATGCAAACACGATCTACCCATCCCTCTTAAGCAAGATATTTAATCTTGCTCTTGAAAGTGAAACTTATCCTACCTTGTGGAAGGAATCACACATTTTGCCCATTCCTATGCACGGCAAATCTACATCATTTGATGACTTTCGGCCAATAAACACCCTCCCCGCACTTTCGAAGATCTTAGAGACATTGATCAAGGATAAGATGATGTGTCACTTAACAGCGAACAACTTACTGAGTGCTGCTCAGCATGGATTCCTCAAAGCTCGATCTTGTGACACCTGTCAACTATCTTTCTTTGACTATGTTCTCCAAACTAGGGACCATGGTTTTGCTCTTTACACAGTATATTTCGATTTCACTAAGGCTTTTGACCGTGCTGACCATGCTCTTCTCCTCTTGAAATTGTCCTCTTTCGGAATAGGCGGCAAACTACTGAATTTTATATCATCTTACCTGGGCACTCGTACACAACGAGTTAAGATTTACAATACCATCTCCAACCCCACACTTGTGAGGAGTGGAGTCATTCAGGGTAGTGTACTCGGCCCGCTTTTATTTTGCCTTTTCGTTAATGATGTATCCGATTTATTTCAGAATGGTAAGCCTTTCATGTATGACAATTGATCCTAAAGTTGCATATCGATATAAGCCGGCAGATCATGACATCGTGCTTGAGCTCCTAAATAGCGATCTACAGGCTTTCGCCCAGTGGTGCCGCACATGGCGCCTTTCTCTTTCTGGGCATAAGTGCTCAGTCATGGTGGTTGGCGACGACCGCCAACCTCAACTAAGTATTGAAGGTCACGCAATAAATGTGCCCAGGGTAACTAAGGATCTGGACATATCATACTCCAAGAGTCTCAATCTCTCGGAGCACTGTGCCTTGATAGTCTCCAAGGCACGTAGAACGACCGGGTTTATCCTCCGAAATTTTAAAACTAGGGACATTAGAATGCGCCTTTTCAACATGTACGTTAGACCTGGTCTGGAATACTGTTCGTTTTTATTTAGCCTTATGCGTGCTACTGAGCGGAAGAAAATAGAATCCGTTCAACACTTTTTTACCAAGAGAATTTTAACCCCGGAACACCGACATTTGTCTTACCAAGAACGTTGCCGGCTTACAGGCCTCGATCCTTATGGTTCCGTAGATTACAAAAGGGACTATTTTGCTATTTAAACTCTTATATAATCACACATTTAACCCACTCACCTCTTGAAGACATCATATCCACCCACGACGTAACAGTCACCGTGAGGTCTTTTTATTTCTGCCTCTGGCACGTACTGTTAAATATCGTCGGTTCTTTTTTGTAAATGCAATTGCTATTTGGAATAAACTACCCATGAGTGTGAAAACTCTGCAAAATTATCCTTTATTTAACTGAACTATTAATCGATTGTGGCATTCAGATAAACTTCCTCAAATTTTGGGTTCTGAATGCATTGATCGACTCTACCGTTGCGATGGCGTTTGTGGTCTCTGAACACTATGGCCGGTCTCACCAGCTGTTCCTCAACGCCTCTACTTTGACTATCCCCAACTTCATGAAAGTAATTGACGTCCGATAATCTCCGATACCGTGCAACTCCCTCCCCCCCTTCTTGACGGTCGACGATCTACCGCCAGCAGTTTTTTTTCTCCTGAACCCTCCAAACCATAAAAACCATCATCAACTATATTTTTATTCTTCAGGAGTTTTTTTCACTGCAGGTCGGATTTGTGTTTAATCGCTTCCCTTGACAATGCCTGTAAACTGGCATTTAATAAATTAAATTAAATTATTTTCAGAGAAAATGCGATGCCGGATACAATATTATTCTGCTGCGTATTCATATTTTTTGAGCTGATAGTCCGGGAGACACAAACAGACAATGCCGTCGGGCCTACGCGACTTTCCAAAAATTAAAAACGGCAACTATAAGGCTTCAGCATTTATCTGCACGCAGTTGATTTAACGACATACTGAAATTAGAGTTCTCCATATCCTACGAAATGCGAAGTATTCATGACCCCAAAAATCGTCCAAAACCAAATTTTAATGTTTATTCTGTATATTCCGTTCTTTTGTTACTTTTGCTATTACTTCGTCTTTGAACTCAGGCTTTTGTAAATTAGTACAAACTTTCAACTGGCTTTCTATTGACTAGACAGACACTGAGAATAAATGCAGTCGAGGTGCAGCCAAACTGAATGGATTTGCTTTGGGCCTGTTATGTGTTGTAAGCAGACTGACAGTGCCTAAGAGAAGTAGTTACAAACCTATTCTTTTCTATTCAAACGAACTGTCTACTCCTCGTAACATACTGAAGTCTTCTGGGCTGACACAAACACATTAATTCCTCCGTCGTCAGATGTGTTACTCGCCATCGATAATCTTCGCCTTTAAATATTCAGAAACAAATTAGCTGGCTTATTAACTCGGATTCGGTTTAAACTGACAACATTTCAAACCGTATTATAAAGCGGATAGGGGATTTTTCCCCAATGTCTAGAAAACCGTCCTCAGTCTCTCTTAAGAAGGGATGTTTGATCGTTTGAAAACTTCTATAATCGTTCAAACATTTTAATCTGACCCATTCTGAAATAAGAGATTATTTGGGCTTTCATAAGACGCCCTATCTCGCAAAATTGTTTGCGATAATACAGTCGAAATTACTGATTTTCGCGTAGCGAAGCCAATTCTTTATCCTTTTCAGCACGGCTTCCAGTACAACCGGTCTTGGGGTGGGCGGCACACACCTCTTCTGAATAACTCACTTCGCTTCATAATGATGAACTATCCGCGGTCATTATTTAGATAAATCTCAGAAAACACTTTTTAAAAATTCCACGCAGGTAACACTTAGGTAAACTGTTGGTCGCAAGGAGAAGACGGGTTGCCCCGGGAAAATGGGTTGTCCGTTAGCCTAGCTGCTGGCTATCCGGCGCGTCCACAGGTGGCGGATAGTGAAATGAATTTGCCACCACGACCAACCTCCGAGGTCACCCGTTAAAACTGCGCACACAGCAGGCACGGCTGGATGTGCGGAAGTTCTCCTTCTCGGTTCGGGTGGTCAAACCATGGAATGAGCTTCCCGCAGATGTTGTGATGTCACCATCTATACAAAGTTTTAAGAAGAATCTGGACATATTTATGTTCCGAAATGACCAAGAGCGATGAGAAGTCGAGCACACCCCCTGTAACTCCTTCTCATTTTGTCCCACCATTATGGCCGTGTTCGAACTATTTCAGCCCAGAACATCTATCTGTTCACCACACATTTTTTACGTTTCAAATAGGGTACTCAAAGGCTTACGCCTATTTCCCTCAATAAACTGAACTGAACTGAACTGACCTTCAGTGAAGGTTAACTGCGAAATAAGCAGGCCCAGGTCTGACGAATAAGCAGTCACGGACCAGCAGCGACATTGCTACCAGGGTGCGGTGGGCTGAGGTCTGGCACGCTGAAAGCCTTATAAAAAGCCGCAAAACCCAATGACGGCATTGTGACATGGCGACCGTAAACCGCCATTAAATAAGTTTACTTGCCACCGCTGCCTTGTGGTCAGGCTTTTCAGCCAAATCGCTAGAGGAGACAACCTCGAACAAACAATCCGAGCGGCTGTTGGGGACCCGACCGTATTCGAAATTCCCAAGAAACCTCATGCAACATGTCCGATCACAGTACTACGACCCATGCTACGGCGTCCGCGGGAACCGCCGCGCTCCCCAACCCTGGTCCAGTTGCGCGGGCGAATAGTATGCGAGCTGGACTACTCAAACGTGGACGGACTCTCGGTATTGGATGCTGGAATGTGCGAACGTTCCTGGACCCTGGTATCCAAAGTCCGACCGGACGCAGTTTTTATCAGTACAACATGGGTGTCTGCTGTCTGTCCGAGGTTCGACTCCCTGACTCAGGCTCCCGTGAAATAAAGATCCCTGGAGTCGAATCACACTATATACTGTACCACAGCGGCCCGCGCGATTCTTCTGGTCGACACGGTGTTGCGATCGCCCTATCGCGGACCTCGCGCTACTTGCTTGGGAACCAGTCAATGACCGGATGGCCTACGTGCGACTGAAGGGTCACTTCACGAACATCTCCATCGTCGCTGTGTACGCACCAACTTCGGCTGCCGAACAGCGCGATGAAGAAGCGTTTGACTGTCAGTTGCCAGCGCTAGTTGAAAGGCTGTCTCTCCGACATCTGCTGATTGTTGCCGGCGATTGAAATGGTCGAACTGGACCTGGCGACCATACAACCAGTCATCTTCTTGACCGCTTTGGGCTTGGCTCCCGATGCGAAAATGGTGAGAGATTGCTGAACTTCGCTGATCGAAACCGACTGCTAGTCACCAACACATGTTTTCAGCATCACAAGAAACGTCTGCGGACCTGGTATTCAAACGACGGTCATACGGCCAGTCAGATGGCCTACATACTAGTCAGCTCAAGGTTCCGCAGCTGGGTTCACGATAGCAGATCGATGCGTGGTGCCGAGACTGATAACGCTCATGGGTCGGACTATGTCCTCGTCCGTACAAGCTTGAAAGTTTATCTCTCATCTGCGCCAAAAATTCCACGTCCTAGACGCCTGCATGTCGCAAAAATCCGGCAAGCCAGCACTGCCGAGGTCCTAAGCAGAGAAATCCGAACCTATTTTACGACCCGAGCCGACGGATAAATCCGTAACCAGTGGTCGTCACTGAAGACTTCAGTCTATGGGGCAGCTGAGAAAATCCTTGCATACACCCAGCGAAGCCGCAGTGACTGGATCAGCGGAAGAACCCTGCAGCTGTCTGCTCAGACGGTTAGGGCTAGGTCCCGCAACGATGACTACTTCCGCCAACTTCGGAAGATGACGGCAAAATCGGCCAGGGATGACCGGAAACAATATTGGGCTGAAATAGCGACATCCATGGAACAGGCCTCGAACGTTGGTGACACTCGAAAGCTCTACCGTCTGATCCGCCAAGTTAGAGGTAAGCCCTCTACACTGAGTGACTCTGTTCGCGATGTGAACGGCGACTTTATGGCTGACAACTCGGACAAAGTCGAGCGCTGGCGTAAGCACTTTGAGCACCATCTCAACTTCGATACCCAACCTACACCGCCCTTGCTCTCCTCCTCAGCGGAGTTTCTTCTCTCTCCTACCTATGCAGTGCTATGCGACCCCCCTCCGAGGGAGAAGTCGCCGATGCCATACGAAAGTTGCGCAACAATAAGACACCCGGAGAGGACGGTATACCTGCTGAAGTCTTCAAGTCTTGTGTCGACACTCTGGCACCCTGGCTCCATGATTTGATTGAACAAGCGTGGAGAGACGAGGTTGTTCCTGATGACTGGGGCTTAGGCATCCTTGTACCTATCCTCAAGTAGGGAGATAAGACGAGATGCGAGAATTACCGCGGCATAAGTCTAATGGACGTTGCTGTAAGGATCTTCGCTAATGTCCTAGTCAGGAGATTCCAGACTGTGCGTGACTCAAGGACGAGGCTCAGCCAAACCGGATTTCGTGCTGGACGTGGAAGCGCAGACCAGATATTCACACTGAGGCGCTTCTCGAATTTCGCCATGGCTTCCAACAACCGACGGCCGTCTACTTCGTTGACTTTGCCGCCGCGTTCGATTCCGTTCACCGTGAGTCCCCGTGGCGGATAATGGCGGTAGATGGTGTACGGGAAAAAATCATTGCCATGATCAAGGCCTACTATCGCTCCACCATTGCGAGAGTCCTGGTCCGCAGCAATATTTCCAAACCGTTCGGTATTCGGTATGGCGTGAAACCGTCGTGACCTCTCCATCGCCACCAAGATTCGCGTGTACCGTCCATCTGTCCGGTCTGTCTTCCTCTACGGTTGTGAATGCTGGGCTTTGCGCGTGGAGGACAAGCGAAAACTGGAGGTATTTGACCAACACTGCTGGAGGACCATCCTTCGAGTGAAGTTCACCGACTTCGTCTCAAATGAGACAGTCCGCGCTCGCTGCAACAACATTGCAAGGATAACTCAGGTTATCCAAGAAAGACGACTGAGTTGGTTCGGGCATGTTATTCGTCGTCTACCTCAGGAGCTCAGTGTTACTGCCCTCGATCCGGCACCGTTGACCCATTGGCGGCGTCGAAGAGGGGATCTGTTCAAAACCTATCTCGACACAGTTCGTCAAGACATGGAGGTGGTTCGTGGACCTTCGATATTCGGTCTCCGTCGTTGGCGAAGGGAATGGGTTGAACTGTCAAAATCTGCTGCCGCGGATCGTCACGCGTGGAGAGGTACAGTTCGGGACATCATCGAGCCCGGCTAGATCAGGCATGATAGCAGCCGTATCAAGTACAAGTACAAGTCAGTGTGCTTATTCACTTTATTGACCTTAAAATGCCACACTTATCAAAACGAAAACAAATGGTCTCAGCAAGATCGCCATTTGCAAATTAGTGTTCTGCTATAAACAATGTCCACCAAAGTACCTTTCGAGGTTCTGTTTTGCTTTTGATTCAAATTTGTCGGCGGGCAAACGTGCTCAGTCTTTTAAATGGGCTGATGCTCTCAAATTCGCATATATTTTACACAAACCTAGAGCCCAGCATTACTTAGGACAAAAACATTCTGATTTGCGGGCTATTTCTAGCTCTGAAAACTGGGGTGCGAGGCCTCAACTTAACGTCGATCTCATCCTAGTCTCATCCAAGCGCAGCATGAAGACGCCTCATAACATCTAGCTGTTATGCCCTTGTATTTGCGTCCTATCCGTAGGATGGTCAAACTCAGCTACTCCATCTCACTTCGTGAGCCGTTTGTGCCTTCTGAAAATTTTGCACATAATTAGGGTCCTCTGAACACTTCACGCATTTCCTATAACAGGGGGCAAGTTTTTTCGATAAAACCCTAAATAATCGTTGTACGTAAGTCTAAAATAACGACATGTTTAACATGTATACAAATATATCAGATCATAGTAAACAGTCGACCACTCCTCCTATAATTCCACGTTCACAAGAAAATTATGGTACATGATTGAATATTATTTTGACAGCTTTGATTGTGACTTACCATTGAATGATTCTCAGTCCTGATATATATTCATCTTTTCCAGCTTGTAGTCCAGACAGTTATGTGAAGCCTCCTGAAAAACACGAAGGAAATGTGCGGCCGTCCCTTTTCAGCTGGCCAGATAGACTGAAAACGACTAACTAGAACACACCGAAAATTCCTCAACTGGAAAATACTTGCAAGGTCAGGCCGATATCAAAGACTTATTAATCATCCCCCCTCTCCCCCCCAGAAACTACCAAACTGCACACTTAAAATATTATACTGTACATATCAATGTTTTTTAAAACTTTAGCGATTATTTTGCATAGGAACTCAGTTTTTTAACTTAAAACAAACTCTAAACTCGCGCTCTATTGGCTAAACAGACACCCAAACAAATGAAGTCAAAGCGCAGTCCAAAAGGATGAGTTTGTTTTGGGTTTTTTTCCTCTGTTCAAGGGAAACTGACAGTGCACAAGGGGCGCTATAATAGACCTACTCTATTCTTGCTACTTTGCTCATAGTTTCCCCTTTATTTTAAAAGCTTCCTATTAGGAATTTATGGATATTATTCTCAGGGATTGCATATGAGGATAGACCAATCGCCTGCGAACGTCAAGAACACTTCCAACTTCATATAAAACAACTTTAATTTCTATTTCACGTATGGCCGCTCACACATTTTTTGCAGTGTCCTCTAGGCCCCAAAAACCAAAATAAAAAACTATCTTTATTATCGTTATTGAAAACATAGAATTCAGTAGGCCTTAAGTTTGGCAATCGATCATTGATAAAATTTTTCGCACCCGTATACATGCATATATAAATGCAGACATTCATTCGAACTCCTTTCCCTAATGTATTGAGTATATCCCCAAGTTTTTGTGTTATGAAGCGCGTGCTTACGTACCACTATGCCGCCTGCGGCATTTGCCTTTTTATTCTAGCGATTTGTGTGCGACGTTCTTCCAAGAATTAAAAAACAATTCCGTCGACACACTTGTCTTCAGATTTGATTCACTCGTTTGTTTAGTCGCATCACATACATTTATAATCATCTGTACGACAGATTTGCACACAGGGATGACTGTATCCTATTCCCGTGCTGTTGCAACAAACTCTCAGTCGGCATTTCTGAAGCTACTATTTCGGTATGCTTTTTATTTACAACCCGAAGGCTTAACAGATGGAAAGGAAGCGTGTACAAGGCGATATGGATAGAATTCATCGTGTTCCTGATTATTTTCATGTTCTTTTCACTGATATACCGCCTAGCGATGACTGGAGAAATAAAACGGTACAAGTTTTTCTTACAAAAATAGGTCTATTGACCAGTATTTTTACAGTCCAAAAAGAAAATCTGTTGCATTATTTTATTTTTGTTTAGCTAGTTTGCATTGTGTACAATGGTAGGGGGTGCTCACCGATCGTTCATAGGGAACTCACTCGTTCCGTTGTGCCTTAAGGACTCTCTCGCGATCAAAAACCGACTGGGCGACGGGCTCGTGGCCCCGTGGGTAGAGGCGTGGACTTCTAAACTAACTTATGCAAAATAAGTGCATTTATAATGGGATTCATTTTGCGTTACTCATTTCATCGTTTTTTCATTTTTCGAAGTGAAATTTAAATTGATTACTCGGCTAGATTTCAGGTGAGATCAGAATATAAAGAGGTCTGTTCACGTAAGCTTATTTTTTGCTTGTCATAGAATGCTAGCGAAACAGATGAAAACGCAGAGTAATTATTTGTGCTAACCGTAGGTTGAATAATGGTAGATGGCTGCATTAAATTGACGCTGACTCTCCGAATGTGAAAGACCTAGAATTGTCTTAAAGTGTATGAGACTTTTGTTTGTATTGTCGTTATTTAACCAAACCCGACTCTGATTTTGAGGTAACAGTCAACTACAGAACCAAATGTGATCCAAATTTAAAACGGCCGGTATTCCAAAAGTTGTTTACGTAAGATTGTGACCGGTTCCTCATACGCACCTATTATGGTCGGACAAGTATTTGTGCACTCATCACATTAGCAGTTGTTTGCTTCCGAATGCCACATAGGATCACGTTATATCTGTTCCCTTATCAAAGAGATTAGGGAAGCGTATCGCTTTCAGTGTATATGTTAATTATCAAGGTAACTTTACAGAGACTAATTTCCCCGTTTTATGATCAATGCTATGAAAAACCGCAGACTACTAGTTAATCCAACTAACCGTCCAAATACGATATGTACTAAAACTAACCATTGTCTAAACATTATGATTCTATCAAAGCGGAGTTGCACTTTACAGTTGTTATCATTGTCATGAAAGGCAGCCTAAAGTTCTTAACTCCAGTGCATGCATGCATAGCGTTGACCAAATACATTATTTTCCAGACGTACTAAGGTCTATTCGAGACCCTTTTATGTCATTAAAATATTTACGACAGTTTTGGGATGAAGAATTTAAATCCGACGAGTACCGTCCCATTCTGCAACACATGTTTCTATTTCTGTATCACGTTAGTGCTCTGCGGACATACTCATGTGGGTCTAAGTTACCTGGCTACAGAGTCTTCGGAGACTATCCTTTTAATGCATTTTTCGTAAACTAGACTCTAAATATTGCACAACTGCGCGTTTAATTTATGAAAAAACTTAAATTTGTGAAATATTTAGAAACATATCCCGCCTAAGTGTCAACTTCCCGTCCATTAATGCTCCACTTCTTACGTCTACCTCATCAGATTAACGGCAGATTATGTTAATATATATTTTACACTTTAAATCTAAAAAATATTTATACCTACCCACGTTAAAGATGAGTTAGCGAATAGTAAGCAAACATTTTCTTTCTACAAAACCTCGTGCATGTCTACCCGGTTAAAGGGCACAGCACATGGTGCATTCCGTTCGGCAGGAACGCAGAAGGGAAAGGATGACGACAAAATAGATTAATCAAAGTATAATGTAACTCAGTGGATCTTCCAATCATCCACGATATCTTTAAATTGTAGTTTCAAAACTGTTTGAAAATTTTAATGTGTTTATAGAATTGTTGTCTTTTTGCAGAAAGTACTGTCCCGAGGGGGGTTTCATTTAAACCGTCTGCAGTCGTTCGTTTAGAATAACTTCTATAAACGGAATATATTAAGTAGGTTATAGTCAGATGCAACAGTTACGATGCAAGCTAATATATGTAGTCAGAACTGTACTTGAAGCCGTTCCATTTTTAAATTTTGTAAGGCAAATAATACAAACGAGACGAAGATTATTAGCGTTTCATGCAGTAAGGGATAAATTAAAAGTAAAACTCAACTCATTTAAATTTCGTTTTAAATTTTTACCTTGTGCCTATTGAATCGCTTATAAGGATGGACTACATAAAGCATTACTAATTACGGCACCCACAGGTGCAATGCAAATTCAAATGTTACCATACAATGGTCAATAAATTAGGTATCAGAAGCAAAAATCCTTGAAACTTACAGCGAAATGCGCCTGATGATAAGGTTAGTCGGTTTTACGCAAGGGAAAAGACAAAAAAACTGTTTCGAATAAGGAACTATATTTATTTAAATAGGAAAATAATATCATAGACGATGAAGCGAAAACAGGCGACTTACGGCTTATAAAAAAATAACAAAACCCATAAATGTGCTTAATATGAAAAGTCTGCCATAATAACCCGCCTGCGCATAAATCTACGTTTGTTTGTATAAATCGCATTCATCGTTGGCAGGCCACTCTTTTCACATCCACTTGTCTAGAAAACTCGACTCTGCCACAATTAGGTAAGATGAATAACAACAGCCGGTATGTTAGAAAAGGCTATCCGACCGAGGAAAGTACGCCTAGTAACCTGACCGTGAATGTAGTTATATATCCTAGGAAACGTTTTTATCAAATTCATTCTCTATCTCCTCTTTGTAGAAAACTAATTTTTTTTTCAATATTGCACCCAGATTATTCCACTTTTTGAACGTCCATTTAGATGTTTCTGCAGTTTAGGTTAATGCTCCCCCCGTACTGCAGAGCATGATCTGCACACACTGTGGCATTTCGTTTGCACTAGGAGGTGTCATTTTGAAAGCCTTACGAGTGTTGTCACTTTATGTACGAAACAGAGCTCAAAAGGTTTGCAATTCTTCGGAACATGTAACAATACAATTTGCGGCATAACATCTCCATAATTTACCAAAGTTTTAAAGCCAATGCTTTCTTTACGTTTGAACGATAGATTTCAAAATGATGATTTTTCTCATAGAAAAATTTAAAAAAAATGAAAAC